ACATTCATAGATTTTTATTATAAGCTTTTACTTATTAATGTAGACACTTAAGCTGTAGCTATATTTTCTAATATGATGCCAATATTCCTTCTTACATAAAATACAATTTATATTTTTTAGGCCTATTTAGATTTTCTCCTTTAAGTTTTCTTCGCTCTTGCTAAATTTTTTTATTTGCAGGATTTACCTATTTCATGTAAACTTTAAAATGTATTAGCACAGAATTACTCATATTAGTTACTTGAATCTATATGCGTCTAAAATAGACTTAATTTTTGAAAATATTATACTATTAACATACCACTGATATATAATTCTGAGAAACTTCAGGTATTAGATCTTTTCATCTTTATGTAGGTGTCACCACCTACACACACACATACACACACACACTGTATATCCCATATGTGGAATAAAAAAGAAACATAGGGCTAGAGCGATAGCACAGCGGGTAGGGTGTTTGCTTTGCATGTGGCCAACATGGCTGACCCGAGTTCGATTCATCTGCTCCTCTCGGAGAGCCTGGCAAGCTACCGAGAGTATCTCGCCCGAATGGCAAAGCCTGGCAAGCTACCTGTGACGTATTTGATATGCCAAACACAGTAACAAGTGTCACAGTAGAGACATTACTGGGCCCACTCAAGCAAATCGATGAACAATGGGAGGACAGTGACAGTAAAGGAACAACAATTGGTCAAAGTCATTGGAACTGAAGATTCTGCCTATTCTGATCTTACATTCAAAGGACAAGGAGGTGTTGGGAGGAGGGTGTGGGTTTTCTGATGATAGGTGTAATTATGTATAAATACTGAGAAGATGTATACATAAAAAGTGTGACTAACGAATTGTAAATCCCAGGACTTCAATAAAAGTTTTTTTAAAAAAAAAAACAACAGGAAATGTTAGAACATCAATTGTCATAGATTTTTATAAGCGTATTAAAATTGAGTTGCAAATTTGACTATACTTTCTAGATGGCAATCATAAAATGAAATATAATCATTTATTTGACTGTAGTTCTGTCCATGCAAATAAAGACCAGCTTCTTTGTTAAAGGAAGTAAAGCTTCTCTTGGACATCTTGAGTTCATCTTGAATTGTTATTGCATGAATTTTCAAACAGGAGCTGTAGAATTTCCAAATAGGACCATGATCCTAATCAGCTCTCAACTAACCTAACAATAGGTTTCTGATGACTATGCTTCTTAATAGAATCCCTCAAGGCAAGCACAAGGGAGAGGGGTCAAATATGCAAAACAAATAATGATGTTTCTGAAGATATGGTTAGACTCTTGACCTACAGCCTACAATTGGAGGGGTCTGGGAGGATGTGGGGGCTGGGGGGTTCTTTTAATTAAGCCTCTGCAAACATGACTACTCAATCTTTTATCAAAATTATGAGCAGTCAATCCATAGCCTCTGGCATGTACAAATACAAGGGCAGTCTACTCAACTGTTAAGAGAAGATTTGTACACAAGAGTTCTTCTCCAATCCCTACTATTTGAAATTCAAGGTCATACTAATTTTCTTTTAGGGCCCTTTTCTTCACCAATTTTGGCTGCAACATCTCTATGAGGGGATTCCTAATGGACATAAACAACAAAAATTATGGGTTTGAATTTAAAAAGTACAGTAAACATTCAGTGAGAAAAGATAGAAGTGTCAGGAACAAAACCTGAGTTATGGAACTCAAAGAGTTAATTCAGGTCTTCTAAGCTGCATTCCAGATGGGCACACAAATGAGGACCCCATTGAGTCATGCAATCACAGAGGCATGGCCCATTTGGATACCAGACACAAACAGGAAAAAGCTTTTTCCCCCTTCTGAGATTGGAAATCAGCATTAATTTGAATTATTTTGAAACTAAGAGTGCCCCCCCCACAGTGCTCAACTTCCTGTGTGTGAAATGAACAAATGTTTATCATCTGATACAAAGAAAAATAATATTGCTTGGGGCTGGAGCGGGTGTATAGCACTTGCCTTACCCGCAGCTGATGATTCTGATCATCAGCTTCCCATATGGTCCTCCATGCACTGCCAGGAATGATTCCTGAGTGCTGCCAGGAGTAAGTCCCGAGCATTGCTGAATGTGGCCCCAAAGCAACAAAAAATACTGCAGAAGCCAAAGCAACAGTAAAGGGGCTTGTGTTGCAAGTGGTAGATCTGGGTTCCATCCCCAAGCAAAGCATACCTTCCCCTAAGCATCACCAGGAGTAATCCCTGATTGCAGAGCCAGGAGTAATCTTATTGAGGATGACTGAGTGTGGCCCAGAAACAAACATAAAAATAAAAGTACAGTTTACTGTAACCTTGGGGGTTCTTTTAGGAGCTTTAAAATGAACGAAAAAGAATATCAATTATGTGCAAAATTATAAATGTCCTTAATTACAAATGAAGGTGGGTAAAATTTAGCAATTTCACTGGGAAATGTGTTTTAATAAATCTGACATTTTTTAAAAAAGTTTTCTCCCACTGTCAGCTCCCTTAGTTTTACTACTTTGAATTACAAGTGCTCATTCCTTAGACCTTGGGCTGACCCCGGTTCAAATCCCAGCACCAAAAATGGTCCTCAAGCACCACCCGGGGGTTATCCCAGAGCACAGAGCAGGAGTGAGCCCTGAGCATGGTTGCGTGTGGCCCAGCCTCTGTGCCACTCACCTTCCCTGAAAAAAAGCATTCATTCCTAACCCAAAGAGGTTAGGAAAACATTTTAATAAATGAGAATCATACATTTGTGAGAAAAAGTCTTTTGTATTATACGTAGTAAAGGCAGTGAAAAAAATGGACAGAGAAAGAAAGAAAGAAAGAAAGAAAGAAAGAAAGAAATAGGTGGACCACTCAGATAACTGGTCAACAGAACAAAACAAAAACAAAACAAAACAAAAAACTAAAGAGGGGCCACAGTACAGGGGACAGTATAGCAGTTAGGACAGTAGATTTTACTATGGATTGAACCCTGGCACAGTCCCTGAACATCAATGCATGCAGGTCTGGAGGTCCCAGAAAACAACAGGCCGGAGCATCACTGAATCCTCAGACTCCTGTAGTGGAGGGGCTTCTGAAATGACCTGTTGGGGCAATAGGATCTTCTAAGCACAGCCTGTGGGCACCCACCCACCTTCCCCCTGGCCTAAAAAATAAAATTGAAAAGAGTCTTATGCTTATTCCTAAAACCCACATGAAAGCAAAATCAAAATAAGAAAATATCACAGTGAAAAAATAAAATGAAATGTCACACTATCCTTGCTATTTTTCAAGATGACATACAATTCACAAGCAGGAAAGAACTAAGCCTTACAATCCCAACTTTGCAAGTTCTCCAACTGGGAAACTGGCACACACTTGTATGTTTGAGGAAACACCATACAGTTGAAAAAGTGATTCTGTGCCAGGTCCTTAGACTCATTTAGGAATAAGAAACTTCTTAGTACTTAATTTTTTAACTTTTACCTGGAATGAAACTCATTAAAATAGAACAACTGCAACAACTCAATTCTAAAACAAGTTAACATGTCACTTATTAACCAAATCACCTTAAGCTCTGGAGTAACTCTGAATCTTCCTTTTTAACCTGAATTGTACTTTAAAAAACACTGTGTCTGAGTTTAAGATATGTTTGATGACCAAGGAGACTGGAAAACTTACCATCTTAGCCATGAAATAAACTATAAGGAGTTGGAAATAACTGCCTCGTTTAATAATACCTAGGTCCTAACTGAGGGAGAGCATTTGGTCCTAACATGTCAAAATTCAAAATTGTTTTAAAATAGCTAAATGTGGCTATTTAAACTAAGAATTGATTTTTTAATACAATTAAACCGCCAACAGCCACAGAATAAGCCCCTGCAAATTCAAAATTGTTGCTTTACATAAGGCTTGGAACTGTTCATTCAACAAATAACTAATGAGCAAGAGATGGTTGGCAGGATTTAACATCCTCAAGACGAAAACGCTGCCCTCCCGCAACTTCCATTACTCACCTTCCAGAGATCTAAACCTTAACACATCAACAAAACTCTGCAGACCTCTTTCAACTTTGCAAGACTCTAAAAGCTTAGCGCTTGGTATAAAACAAAGGGAGGCGAGGCGGGGGGCGGGTGTGCGTGTGTGTGTGTGTGGGGGGGGGGGTCGCCGTGCCAAGTGGTCGGCTCAAGCTCTGCTGCCTGAACTTTACACTCGACGTCCAGAAGCACATTCAAAAAACCAGTTTCTCGAAAACACACGACCAGAGCACCTTTTTGGAACTTAAAGCCGCGCACTCGGCTGCCTCTGCTGGCCGACTCCGTGCATCCTTCCAGCAGATTCTCAACTCCCGACACCTGTATCAAACTTGCCACGCGTGCCCCTCCACCGAAAGTGGCTCCTAGCGTGAATACCCCGCCTCCCTGGCGTCTCCCAAACCCTGGCGTCTCACAGTGCCTTCTCCAAACGGCCCTAAACGTGGAGACTGGAAGAGACACAATCGTCGATAGTTTCATTTCAGCCCGCTCAGAAAGACACAACAATCGCCAGCGACTACAACAAGCCACTGAAAATAACGCTTTGCTTGGTGACAAGTGGGGCTCAGACGGGAAGATCGAAGTCTGCTAATCCAGCCCGGTGGGGTGGAAGGGAGCGAGGAGGGAATACAATAACATATTCCTAGCTGAAATGCTGGAAATGCAACGGTACCCCGTTCCCCTCCCCACCCCGCCCCGCCCCGCCCCGCACCCGGGCGGATACAGTCCCCGGCCCACCTGTCCTCCCCGCCCCCGCCCGCACGCGCATCCCACCCCGGCCAGGGGCTGGGCGGAGAAGGGTCCGGTTCTCCTGCGCTACGGTTGCAGAAGTGGTAGCCAGGTTAAAGCGGGGTTTGGGGGGCGGGGGTGGGGGGCTGCGCCCGGAGTCTCTTGCGGGAGGCAAGTTCGGCTGGCCCCGGCCCCAGCCCCGGGGCCAAGTCCCCAGCGGCAGCATCTGCTGCAGGCGACCGCGAGGGCAAGTCCCCGCCTCACCCACCTACCTACAGGGCGGGGGCGCCCGCTCTTCGGGTCTGGGAGAAGGGGGTCGGGCACACGCATTTCTGGGAGCGGTGGCCTCTGCTGCTCGGCGCGGGGGAGCGCATCCGCGAAGCGGGATGCTGGGGGTCGGGGTGAGCCCAGGAGGAGGAGGAGGCTGGAACACCACCGTCGCGCGGCCCCGGCGACCAGCGTCCGGCGCTGGTTAAGGCGGCCACCGGCGGGACTCTTCGGGCCTCTCTTCTCCCCCACGGCGGCAGCGTCTCGCCCACCCCGCAGCAGCCGCGCCCGCTTGGTCAGGGCATCCAAGCCGCCACACGATCGGCCGCCCCGGCCCGAGTGGGGAGCGGCGAGCGGCGCGACGCGGGTGCAGACGCCCGCCTCTAGCTCCGCCCGGCCCGCGCCGCCACGCTCCGCGCCCCTCGGTCGCGGCGGGGGCCCCCGAGCTGGGCGGCGGTGCTCGGCGGCTCGGGCTGCAGCTGCAGCATCCTCCGCACTCGGGCGCCCCCCGGGGCAGGACACTCCCTCCACCCCCAGCGGTCGAGGCTCGGCCCCCGAGCCCGGCCCCGCGCGGCTCCGCCCCCGGAGAGCTGCGCGCGCGGCCTCCGTAGGGCCTGGGCCCAGGGTGACGCCTTCCGACGGCGGGCGGCGGGCCGGCCAGCTCCCCCCACGCCCCCCCCCCCCCCCCCCAGCACCGTGGCCTTACCTCCCCGGCGTCATACCCCCGCACGCGGCTCCCGGCGCCCACCCCTTTCGCGGCCCGGAAGGCTCGGAACGCAGAACTGGAGTTAAACCGTCCTCCCGAGCCGCCGAAAAGCCTGGGAGTTTCCTTCCTGCTCTGGGATCCCCGGCCCGCAGTCAGTTGAACCCTCTTGTCCTTTCGCGGCGTTGCATTTCGCAGACGGGCCCACCCTCTCCTCCCCCCCCCCCCCCCACCTCCACCTCCGGCTCCCGTCCCGGGTACAAGCATCCAGGGGCTGCCAAATTGCGATCATTACAGATCATTACAATGAGAATGTGGCGACCCGGCCCTCCTTGAGAAAGCCAGGCTGGGGAGGATTTGCATCTGTTGTGGGGGGGCCCTGCTTATTAGCTGTTCCTATCCCTTCGAAATCCTCACGGCCAGCAAGGCCAGGGTGACTCGGAGTATCTAGACTTGAGGTTTGCCCTTACACACAGAGAAACCCTCAAGCCCCGGCCTGCAGCTGGTCTGATAAGGTTGGTGTGCCAGAGGCCACGGGCGCGCACGCACAGACACAGGCACAGGAGCTAGCGGGCGCCTGGTTGCTGATTCGGCTTATGCTCTAACAGGCTCCAGCGAGGCAGGCTGGAGCAAGCCTTCAGCAGCAGTGGTTCTCGAATTTCGGTTGTAAGTGCTCAGGATACCAGCTTGCAAAATTGTGTGTGTGTGTGGTGGGGGGGGGGGGGGGGGGAACGGGGCATTTGCCCAATTCTGCCTCGAGGAGGTAGAAAAATTGGGTGGCAGATTTACGTCTTTTTGATTTGAAGGTGAAGAATTAGGGGTCTCTCTCTCTCTCTCTCTCTCTCTCTGTTGTGTTAGTTGGAAATTATTTTCAATGGGAAAGTGGGCTTTTAAAGTATGTTGAACCGAGGCCCAAACACTTCGGGTGCTCTCCTTGCACATGGCTGACCTGGTCCATCCTGCAAACCACATTTGGTCCCCCGAGCCCCAACAGACATGATCTCTGAGCACCACTGGGGGTGGCACAAAAGCCAACATATATATATATATTATATATACACACACATATATTTATCATTGTCACTGTCCTCCTGTTGTTCATCGATTTGCTCCAGCGGGCCCAGTTATGTCTCCATTTTGAGACTTGTTGTTACTGTGTTTGGCATATTGAATACGTCATGGGTAGCTTGCCAGACTTTGCCATGTGGGCGAGATACTCTCAGTAGCTTGCCGGGCTAGACTAATTTTGTTGAACCTGGTTTGGGATGTCCAGAGAAGCTGAGTTCCTGTCTCACTTCTTTGATGAGTGCTGTAAGGATTTTAGTAAGTAAAATAGTACACTGGCTATAGTACTGTAGCAGCTATAGTACAATGGCTGGTGCATATGTGTAGCATAGGCTCCATACCGGCACCATCTGGTCCCCACACATCCTGGCACAGGCCTGGATGTCCCATGTCCCCATCACTGCTATCTGTATAATCCCCTGCACCACAGAATCTGAGCATCACCACATTCTCAGTCCTTTGCATTGAATACTGGGGCAGTCTGGGGAGGCTCCACCATACTTCAACATAAGGTTAGTTCTTCAGAAAGGCAAGTAGATCTTCCGTAGCAATGCAAACTGTGAATTTTTAAAAACAGGTCCCTTGAATTGCAGTGCAGAAGCTGCACTGACTACAATCAAGAAACACTGACAAACAATAGTATTTATTATTCAAATTCAGAACATCTCAGTTACAGGAATGTATATGTGGGATGATTAGTGATAGCACAGAGTCGATAAGAACTTAGCAGTTCTTCTTTTGAGTTAGATTCCTTCCCCCCCCCCCCCCCCCCCCCGAGAGCCCAGCAAGCTACAGAGAGTATCTCACCCGTACGGCAAAGCCTGGCAAGCCACTTTGGAAGTATTTGATATGCCAAGAATGGTAACAACAAGTTTCACGATTTGTCGTGAGACGTTACTGGTGCCAGCTCGAGCAAATCGATGAACAACGGGAGTGCTACAGTGCTACATAGAAGTCTGTCATAGAACGTAATTTCTGTAAGAAATACCCATTGAATTGCCATTCTTTAGTGCTTACCATCCTTTGCCATCCGTATCCTCTTTTGTTTTATCTAGGTAGCTTGTTTTGTTCAGAAACAAATGAGCAAGGAGGCAGAAGGGAGATGGTTTGGTGCTGAGGCTCCTGCCTTGCAACGCTGAAACAGAACTTACCTGCCATAGCTGCTGCCCCCTGAATGTGCAGGCAGCGTCCTGCCAACTCTGCTGTTTTGAATCCAGATGCCAAAAGGGATTTCTGATTGCACCACACTCAGGTATGTGTGAGCATCAAGACTTCAGAGTGCAGAAGTCAGCAAGTACTAAAAGAGAGGGGGGATTGAAGGAGGGAGAGGGAGAGGAAGAGGGAAAGGAGAAGAGATGCAAGCATCATGGCCATGGCGTGATTCTCCTCCCCTCAAGGGAGACATTGTGGCACCAAAACTAAAGGAGTGTGCCTCCTTGGCAAACCCCAAAATTGCACAGGTGCTCTTTTAATCATTTCCATGATCGCTTGTCATAATAGTCCTCACAACAGAGAAAAGGGATGGTGTGTGTGTGTGTGTGTGTGTGTGTGTGTGTGTGTGTGTGTGTAGGGAATTAGTGATTTCTTAAGTTAGAAATGTATAACCAAGAATGTATTTTACTTTTTGTTTTGGGACTGCACCCAGCTGCAATGAGAGTGTACTCCTGGTCCTGTATGCAGGGATCATTCCTGAGGGGCTTAGTACAATATGGGGTGCCAGGGACCCAACCTACTGCATGCAAGACAAGTGCCCTAACCTGCTCCTGCTGCCAAACTATCTTTCCGATTTCCAAGTATGGATTTTAAAAGTAGTAACTGTCGATTATAAAATGAGAGCCTTTGAAAAACAATGCGTGTAACTTAAGGATCCTCTCCTATCTGCATGTACTCCTCCAGGACTACATGCTATATTTTGTGCTTGCACTGCAGTGAAAATCACAGTATAAGATTTCTATTCCATAGCTTGGGGATGGAGGTGACTTTCCTCCTTTAAGACTCTTTGTTTCAGTACCTCAGTATTTATTGATTCATCTAATTATTTATACGAAGAAATGAGAAGAAATTCAATCATTTCCTCATTCTTTAAATATGTCTGATTGCTTTAGTCATACATGGCCAGTTAAATTTAAATATAGTTGTTGTTGTTGAATTCCACTAGTCACATTTCAAGTACAGAAGAGCCACATGTGGCTCGTGAACACTCTCTTCTCTTTTGGATGGCATATAAAAATATTTTTTTACTGCAGAAAATGATTTTGAACAATATTGCTCTAAATAAAAGACAGAATCTAGTTATATTACATATTTTGAAAAATCTTAATATATTACAAATCAAAAATTGTTAGAATTTGTACTCTTAAGAATATGGAATCTAAGAATTTAGACTCTAGCTTCGGTGTACAATTCTATTATCTGCTGAGCTAGGAATAAATTACTTAACCTCAGCTGCTTTATCTATAAAAGGGGGATAATTATAGAACTTTAATCAATGAATTTTACAGGGAGGAAATAGGGATGAAATGAATTAATGGATGATGCTTAGGTTAAAATCTAGAAGATAGCCTTCAGAAACTTAATTGTTACTATAACAGATTACATGATTATAATATTTTTTTTAGATATTATAGATAGCATTGGTACCCTTCATGGTATCTCGCTATTAGAGGTTCTTGACAGATGATGCAATGAAGGGGAAAGGTGAGATAAAGGCAATGCTATCAATTTTATGGGTTTCCATTTAATATGAAAACTGATCTTCTTATTCCCTTTGAAAGTAGCAGTCACTATAGTGCCACTAAGCCCAAACTGTCCTCTTACTCCAGAACGAAGAACGCTGTGTGATGAGATTTTGGTATATTTGGAGAGAAGCAGCGCACCCTTAAGCTCTGGCTGACTCAGGTAAGTATTTTATAGCTTCTAGAAACATCACCAACAAAAGCAATTGATATCGTAAATGTCCATTTTCTTTTTTTTACATACTCCTCTAAAGATTATGTTAAAGTTAAGTATGGTTAGTGCATCTATTTTTAGACACAACACTGGTATTCTCTCACAGGACAAAAAGTACAGGAATATTGGTAAATTCTACTTTCATACTTTCCAAAAACAAAAGGCTCCTTGGATACACCATGAGCTCACAGTCATTGGAACAACGGAAACTGGAAGTTTTCTTGGTAACGGTACTTACAGCAGAGAGTTATATGTTGGGTTATGAGTTTGATCTACTAGCACTAAGTAAATTCATTTCTTATTTTTTATATTCCATTTATTTATTTGGGAAGGGGCTTGAGGAATGCTCCTTGCTCCTCTGTGCTTGGCACATGTGAGAGAAGTGTCTTAACCACTGTCCAGGGGAAGAAGAACTACAGAGCCACAAAGAACTCTCTGCCCCCCTAGAAGTCATTTTTTTCTTTTTTGGGTCACACCCAGTGATGCAGAGGTGTTACTCCTGGCTTTGAACTCAGGAATTACTCCTGCAGTGCTCGAGGGACCATATGGGATGCTGGGAATTGAACCTGGGTCAGCCATATGCAAGGCAAATGCCCTACTCACTGTACAGTCACTCCAGCCCTAAAGTTCATTCTTAAATGGTTGAACCAGGGGTGTGGTTCAGTGTTAGAATGCTTGCCTCACCTGTCTTGAATGCAGGGTTTTAACTCTGGCACTGCAAAACTAACAAAAATTAATACACTCATGAGCAACAGGTCCTTTTCCTAGCACAAAAACACCTTTCAAAACCAAACTTGGGCTAGTTAAGACGTGAGAGTCTTCAAGTATCTGATGGTGTCGGTTGGAGGTGCAAGAATATTATTCCACAGCTAGAGGCAGTGAAAGTTTGCTATTCAGTAGCGTTGAAAGCAAGCAGTGGCTCATTTTCACACCTGGGTCATTGATCCAGCATTTGAAAGATAGCACCTTGAGTCCTGAGAAGAATATACATAGGTTCAGTGTTCAAATATATGAACAGGTTCACATGTTTAAATATACATTGGTTCAAATATAGATACAGTGAGTCTCTTCATTTGTAATAAAATCTAAAGTCAAGGGCTGGAGAGATAGTACAGCAGATAAGCCCTTGCCTTTCTCATGGCTGACTGAGATTCGGTCCTGGGCACCCCATAAGGTCCCCTGAGCCCACCTAAAGTGATCCCTGAGAGGAGAGCCAGGAGTAAGCCCTGAGCTCCAATGGGTGTGGCCTCAAAACAGAACAAAAAAATCTAAAAACATGGTAAAAATGTCCTTGTCATTGGAAAAGAGCTTTGCAGAGTATATTGAGGAAATTCTGACATGAGTAGAAATGGATGTTGTCTAGACACCTTCAAGAAAATTTATGACTGATTATTTAGATGCAGTTGCTGAGAAGGTAATGACACTGCAAAAATAACAAAGAACTTACCCCTTTTTTAGCTCACAACTTACTTAAATATTTGCCTTTATACAATTTCTGCTCTTTTTTTTTTCTGTTGGAGACTCATCTATTGAATATCTTGAAACCTACTACATATTTTTCTCATAGCCCACAAACCTTAACTGGTTTAATGAAGATATTGATGCTAAGATGTAACTTAAGTTCTGAAATAAATTCGTAAAATAATAATTGCTAAAATGACATTAAGTGGCGGTGAGTTGTTTGGATTAGTGTGTGGAAGAAATTTCCAGTGTAATAAGCTTGAAACGGAGTTTTTTTTAAAATAAAATAATTATAGATTCACAAAAAGTTGCAGAAAATGTACAGGGAAATTCCCAACCTCACTTCTGCCACCCAGCTATTCTCCAGGGTGAGTTTTAAAAAAAAAGATTCCATTTTTGAATTACACTAGGTGCTACTTTGGGCTACTCCTGGCTCTATGCTTGAGACTTAGTGATGCTCAGCGGCCGTGTGATGCTGAGAATAGAACCCTGACTTCCTGCATGCAGAACATGTGCTCAGCACACTGAGATAATCTTTCTAGCCCATGGGCTAATATCTTGCTTAACTGCAGTGCAATATCCAAAGCCAGAAAACTGAGATTGGTCTAATCTTTAGAGACTAGTCAGATTCCACCAGTTACTCACGTCAGGGTAGGGATATTTTAAAATGCGATTTTATCATCTACACATGTTCTTGTACTGCCACTCGAAGGTACAGGACTATTTATCACTTCAAGGATCACACAACCCTGACCGTTTGAAGTCATGTGTATTCTGTAACTTAGCACGAGTCTAATGCTTGTCAATCACTAAACTTTCTCATGTCTATATGTTCTCAAAAGTGCGATGTAAATGGAATCATGCAGTGCATAGCCCTTCAAAGTGTTTTCCTGCTATCAAGTATAACTGTTGAGAACGATACAAGTTGTAATGCATATCAGTAATCTGCTTTTGTTAGTAAAATATCCCATGGTATGAATGTGCCAGTTTAGCCATTCATCCATTGAGGGACGTATTTTCTTCCAGTTTGGAGTTATTATAAGTAAAGCTGCTAAAAACACTTGTGGGCAGATTTTTTTGTGAACACAGATTCTCATCTCTCTGGGAAATGTGCCCACGAGTATAATTGCTGGGTCATATGGTAAGTGCATGTTTAGTTTTATAAGGAACTGCCAAAATATTTTTTCGAGAATGGCTGTGCCATATTATATTCCCATCAGCAAAGTGTATATAAGGGAAGATGTGTTTTAAATCATCTAAATGAACATACTAACTTCGAGCATAGTATATATTTCTTTTACTATCCACTGCTGTTCCACATAGTAATTTCTTGTTTACTTGCATTACACAGTCTAAGATTTAAAAGCAGGGATCTCTCTGTTCACTATGATGTCTTTGGTACCTAATACAGTGTCTGACGTTCCTTAGTTAAAAATAAAGTGGAAAAGAAAATTGTCAATAAACATAACTGACTTTTCGATTAAATTCCACGGTGTTTTATTCCAATATAGCAAGCTCTTTCAGATGTGTCCCTTATGAGTAAATTAACTTTTTTTTAAAAAAGAGTGTTAAAAGTTATATTGGCCAGTATAATAGTATTTTTTTTATAACAGCAAGACTGGAAATAATTTAAATGACCCAAATTGCTGGGATACATGGAACTACTTTAAATAAAATGTACACAATAGAATATCATGCAGTTATCAAAAGTTCACTGTCACTGTCCTCCCGTTGTTTATCGATTTGCTCGAGCGGGCCCAGTAACATTGTGAGACTTGTTACGGTGTTTGGCATATTGAATACGTTACGGGTAGCATGTCAGGCTTTGCTGTGTATCATAATATTAAAAATTGAAAATTAAACCACCTTCAAAAGATATTAATAGAAAGTATAAAAAGTTTTAAATGGATATTTCTACATGAAAGTGTTAATTATTCTTAATCTACAGAGTAAAGGGTATGCCCGGAACATTTTGTGCCAGGAAGTGAAGAGCTGCTCAGAAATGTACAGGAGTACCTTTGAAACATAGGAATATTTACACACTTGTGTTTACAGTGTTACCTCAATAAAATAATTTTAAACACGGGAGCCAGCCAGTAGCCTGGCTACTTTGGGAAGATTTAAATGAATAGTGCAACCGATTCTAGCAACAAATATATTTCTATAGCAAGAGATATCACACATTAAATAAAAGCACAAAACAAAAAAAAGAACGAAACCAGACCTTTTTTTAGCTTGAACACACCATTTTATTGCCTAATTTTGCCTTTCATCGTTTTTATTTATTTAAATTTTTTATTAGTGAGACACCATGAGGTACAGTTGTAGACTTGCAAATTTTTGTGCTTGGGTTTCAATTATACAATGATCAAATACCCATCCCTCCACCAGTGCCCATTTCCCACCACCACGGATGCCAGTATCCCTTCCACTCCCCATCCCCCACATCCCACCCTGCCTCTGTGGCAGGGCATTCCCTTTTGTTCTCTCTCTCTCTTTTTGGGTGTTGTGGTTTGCAAAAGAGGCAATCATGCTTGGTCTATAGTCTACTTTCAGCATGTTTCTCCCATCCTTGGAGGATCCTCCCAACACCCTTTATTTGGTGCTCCCTTCTCTATCTGAGCTCCCTTTTCCCTTAGCATGTGTGGCTGGCCTCCAAGCCATGGAGCAAAATTCCTGGTACTAATCTCGGCCATTCTTGGGTGTTAGTCTCCTGTTTTGTTACTTTATGTTCCCTAGATGAATGCAATCTTTCTATGTCTATCCCTCTCTGACTCATTTCGCTTAACATGATACTTTCCATGTAGTACCATTTGTATGTAAATTTCATGACTTCATCTTTTCTAACAGCTGTGTAGTACTCCATTGTGTAAATGTACCAAACTGTCTTTAACCCAGACTGAGATTTTTAAATTAATAAAGAATAGAGAGGAAGGAAAGGAAATTTCTTTAAATGAATGTTAGACTATATCCCCATTTTTGTAATTGCTATAAGTAATAATCGTTCAGGCAAGCAACATCAGTCGATGCTAAAACCATTGGGTTAAAGTTTGCTGAGGAATAGGAAAAAGCTATGTAAACTAAAAAAGTATCACTTAATGGATATCTTTTTCTCTTTTCTCTTTTATAATTACATGTGTAAAAGATAAACTGACAGTAGTGAAATAGGGCAGATAACTATATCATAAAATGAAACTTTAAGTTTCCTGTTGATTTTTTTTTTTTTTGGCTTGCCGGGCACTTAGTTGGCATACCTGGGAACGATGCCAAAAGTAGTATCGCGCTCAGTGGTCTGCTCGGACACGCGGGACCGGGAAGAATATGATGACGGCGAGAAGCCCCTCCACGTCTACTACTGCCTGTGCGGCCAGATGGTCTTGGTGCTGGATTGTCAGTTGGAGAAACTGCCCATGAGGCCCCGGGATCGGTCGCGGGTGATTGATGGGGTGAAGCACGCGCACAAGTTCTGCAACACGGAGGACGAGGAGACCACGTACCTGCGCCGGCCCGAGGGCATCGAGCGGCAGTACCGGAAGAAGTGTGCCAAGTGCGGCCTGCCACTCTTCTACCAGGCGCAGCCCAAGAACGCCGCCGTGACCTTCATCGTGGACGGGGCGCTCGTCAAGTTCGGCCAGGGCTTCGGGAAGACCAACATCTACACGCAGAAGCAGGAGCCGCCCAAGAAGGTGATGATGACCAGGCGGACCAAAGACATGGGCAAGTTCAGCTCGGTGACCGTGTCTACCATCGACGAAGAGGAGGAGGAGATCGAGGCCCGGGAAGTGGCCGACTCTTACGCACAGAACGCCAAAGTGATTGAGAAGCAGCTGGAGCGCAAAGGCATGAGCAAGAAGCGTTTGCAAGAGCTGGCCGAATTGGAGGCCAAGAAGGCCAAAATGAAGGGGACGCTGATTGACAACCAGTTCAAGTGAGCGAGACCTTGCTCCGAGCTGGTTGGAAGCATTTCCGGCAGGAGGGGGGGAAACTGTTGTTTGATTTTTATTTCCTCTTTTTTTTTTTAAAAAAAAAATTGTTATTTTCCTGTCTCCACGGACCTGTCCTCCTATTTATGCCCCAGCAGAAGGCTCTGTGGGGCTTTCCAGTGATGCATTGTACATGCAGTAGTTCCCGTGAGACCACCTGATCTGCTTTTAGAGTTGAGCTTTTCAAAGCATTTCTGTATATGTTTGTTTGCTTTGCGTTTTGTTGGATTCCTGTGACGTAAGTTCTTTAAACTGTTTAGATACTTTGAATATATTGATTCTGGAGTGCCAGTTCTTTAAAATGCCAGAATAAATATGTAAACATGGAAAAAGAGTAGTTTCCTGTTGCTATTAAAAAATTACCATAAATTTATGTTTTAAAATAACATAATTTTTTTTATTTTAGCTTTGTAATCCAGAATTTAGGATGTATCTAAAAGTCTGGACAGCGCTGGTTACTTTCTAGAGTTTCTACACAAGAATTCTCTCTGTTTTTTTTCCCCACTTCTAAAGATCCCCTTGCAAAAGCTGGGGTTTTCTGTCTTCCTTCAATCACATCATGTGACCTAACCTTTTACAATCCTCCACTTCTAAGTAGCTTTGTGATGATGTGGCGCCCACCTGGAAAATCCAAGATAATCTCCATCACAAATCCTTAATAATCATATCTGCTATGTAAAGTAGCATTCTCATATTCATAGGAAAAGACAGATACATCTTCGTTGGGGGCATTTTTCTGCCCACTATGTTTGCTATTAAAATAATGCAATACATGAACATTTGTATGCTTTTTGATGTAATGCACTGAAAAGACATTACTTAAGACAGTTTTCCTGTCCAAAAACACTTCTTTTTACTTGTTTAGGATTTGGGACCACATGCAGCACTTCAGGTTTACTCCTAGCTCTAAGCTCAGGGAGTGTCCCTAGAGACCTCAGGGCACCCTGTGGGGTGCTGGGGATCAAACCCAGGTCTAGCAACTTGCAAGGCTAACACCTTACTCCCTGTACTATCTCTCTTGCCCCACCTGCCAGATAATTAGAAAACTTTTCCAGATTAAATGGGAAAAAAACCTACAAAAATAGATATAACTAAAGGTGACATACAATATCTGAATGGATCCTGGATAAAAAAGAAAAAAATATAAAAGTTGTTATGGAAAGGACATACAGGTGACCAAATAGTATATGAAAAAGTGCTCACTATCTTTTAGTAAAAGCAGAGACACGCAAACTGAAACAAGATGTCACTTCACATTCGTGAGAATGACATTCATCAAAATCCTGGAAACACCACGTATTGGTGGTAAGGTGACATAAAAGAACCTACATTTACAGTTGATGGGAATGTAATCTAGTCCAGCTCCTGTGGAAAACAATACAGAGATTTCTCAAAAAATATTAATGAGGCTGGACAGATAGAACAGCAGGTAAGATGCTTGCCTTGTACACGGCTGACCCAACTTTTATTCCCAGCACCCCAGAATGAGCCCCAGCAGGAATGGTCCCTGAATACAGACCTCAGAGTAAGCCATGAGCACCACCAGCTGTGTCCCTAAAACAAAAAAGTAATTATGGACCCTGCATTTAACCAGGCTGTCAAACTTCTAGGTATCTACCCACCAAAAATCATTAATTCAAAAAGATACATGTACAGTTATGTTCACTGCAGATCCTACTATAATAACCAAGATATGGAAACAACCCAAATGTCCAAAATCAGATGAATGAATAAAAAATTGTGGCATATAAGCACTCCAGTATACTGTGCAGCCACAAGAAAAAATAAAGTTGCTGTTTGTGGCAACTTGGATGGAAGGGGAGAGTATCATGCTGAGAGAAATAAGCCAGAAGCAGAAGGACAAATGAAGGATGATCTGCCATTTGTTACACAGAGAAACAAATCAAGAGTCTAAACAGTATCAACTAATTTGAACACAGGATTCCCGATTCGAGAGTGCCAGATTTGGGGGAAGGAGATAAGAGGGGAATGAAAAACTTGAATGAAAATAACACTGTAAAATAGGTGGTGGGTCTGGAGCACATGGTGGTTTTTAGGGAGGTAACGGTGTGTACCCAACCATAACTGTCATTAGGCAAATAATAGGGGTGGGTGGGAGGGCAGGACCAGAGGTTTGCATAGGGGCAGGGAATGAGTAGAGGGTGATAGACATATGTGTTAGTGGTGTGCAGTGACTTTGTACATCAATATCATAAACTTCATCCTTATTACTGAAATTATAATAAAATTTTATAAGGTATAAGCACAAGGAAAAATTTGATTATTAACTATAATAATATTGAATTAAATTTTCTAAATATGACCATTTTATTTTTGTTCTTAGGAAATATATGGTAAAGACAATGCTTTATGTAATATATTTGAAACTACCCTTAGCTGATTCATAATAAGTAGGAAAATCAAAAAGAGAAAGCAATATTGCAGAATATTAACAATTAGTGAATCTAGATAAGTATTGTGAAATAATAATAATAATAATAATACAAGGGCCGAAGAGAGTACAGCAGGTAAGGTTGTTTGCCTTGCTTGTAGCAAGGGAGACCTGGGTTGGGTCCCTGGCACAATGTGTCATTTCCCAGAGTCTGCCAGGAGTGATCCCTGACTGCTGAGCCTGGAGTTAAGCCCTGAGCATGACTGGCACTACTGGCACTATTGGCACTACTGGGTGTGGCCCCCAAACAAAACAACAAAAACAACAACAACAACATAATAATAATAATAATGCAAATCACAGTTACAATTATAAATGTTCGAATAGTGCACAGGACTTGACTTGCACAGGACCAACCCAGGTTGGATCCCTTGAGCACGGCCTGTAGTGATTTCTGAGCACACAGTCACATTTCAATCCCATGATGTTGGTTTCTAAATTGGAACAGCTCTGATGCATGGTCTACAATATTCACTTCCTCTACTCACAATTTTCTGTAGTAATGGAATAATTCAGAATAAGTGTTTGAGTAAAACACATAGCTATGAGCTTGTGCACACAAAAAATATTTCAAAGGCTAAACTTACTAACATTTAAACTAAAATTATTTATAAATATATCTAGTTTATATTTTATTCAGAACTAAACAGTTTAAGCCTCAGCTTTGCCAGTTCCCATCTGAGAAGTAAAATTACCTATTGAATCCCATTTCCTAAGATTCCTTGGGATAGGAAGACCTAATTAAAAAAAAAACTGAATAGAATGATTTATAATTCGGGGGAGGGGGAGTGACCTTTTAAACACTTATTATTTTTAATAAACCCTTTCCTCTGCTGGCTGCATAATAGTAAATACATGTTAGATACATTTTAGATACATTTTTATCAATACTGTAAACTCCATCTCAGATGCTGAAAAAAAGAAAAAATAATCTAAAACACAGCTTTGTCTAAATTCTACGGTAGTAGATGATCGTTGTAATTCACAGTGGCGCCGGATGTTATAAATTCATTACACATTTATATCCGTTTTACTTAAGCCTCCTTCCGTCTTGCAGCGAGCGTCTGCGAGTTACATTTATTCTTCAATAATGGTTGGCACTTAAAAGCAACATGCAATTTGCCTTCTGCTCGCATTTTAGGCAAGTTTCTGAATAGAGGCTGGACTGCACGGTTTCTTTGGTAAATTGTATTTCCTGACTGTGTCTGGTGCATAATATATCAAACAGGTAAAACAATTGCCTAGATGATAACATAGCTTGAAAAAGGTGACGATAATAGAAACTCAATGGGTTTGAATATTTTAAATCCCAGGGCAGATCCCTGGATAGGTTACTTTCAGTTTCGTCTGGCTCCCACGAAGTAATCCTCAAGATTTATATAAAATCGAATCCAATTAAGGCCACGAGGCTCTTCTCCACTCACATCCAGAGATTAAACGCTTTGTGCCAGCCCTACAACGAGAAAAGCTCTCCTCTGGTAACAAGCTTTTCGTTAGAGTTAGTTAAATATCTAGAGGAACTTAACAGCTTCATGAGAGGGAAAAACAGAGAGAGACAAGTTAAATTAGAAGATTAATAAAAAGCTGAGAATGCCAGCTGTAAGTTTGGGTAGCGTTAACATTTATGTATAGATATTTACATGCTGTATAATCAAAACTTCAGACCATTTAGAACGAAATTTCAGGACGGCTTTGCCATTTGGCACTTAGAACACGGGATTTGGAGACTCCAGAATTTTTCTTTTTTGCTTTTATCTTTTGCAAGGCTCAGCAGAGCTGTTGAAAGAGCTTTACGACTTTGTGCACCGGGCTCGGAAACCGCGATCTGGAGGCGGAGCGCAGTAGGTGGAGCTTAGAAACAATAATCTTGTTTTCTACTGGTTGAGAATCACGTGGAGAACTTACAAAGAACCAAATACATTCTAGAGAACCTTGCTTCTAAGCTCCCTGGTGGTCTAGTGGTTAGGATTCGGCGCTCTCACCGCCGCGGCCCGGGTTCGATTCCCGGTCAGGGAAAGCGACTTTTTCCTTCTCGATGCAACGTCAGAACACGGAATTGATCAATTTATTTTTTTCAAAACGATTCTTTCTGATTAAAACATAAAGTCACTTCGCGGAGATTTTAATGCTTTTTGAAAATTTCTATTTTTTTTAATGTAGGAGTACTGCTATTTATTCAGCCACTGATTAGCTGATTGAATTGGGCATGAACTCCACCTTACTTTTTTTTTTTTCGTAATTTTATTTATTTATTTATTTTTTCTTCTTATATTTAGAAAAATTCTATTTCTTAACTGTATGTTATTTAATTAAACATTTAAAACACGCCTACCTATTTACAGAAAATGTTATTTACCATCAAATACAACATAACTATTCCTAATTCTAAAGTACTAGCATATTTGTCTAAAAGCTTATTAAAGCCACTGATAAAATTTGCATTTTCCAGTTGCAGAAGATAATTTGTGTAGGTACATGAGCAGTAACTTTAAGCCTTTGACTAATCTTTGTGTTACTAATTAAAAAGCAAAAATAATTTTTGGATGGTTAATGTGCATAACTCTCAGAGTCAATTTCTGTATGTTCAGATTGTGTGCTTTGAAATTATTTGTGTATATTTGGGCTATTGTTATCCTGTTTTATGTGTTTTTATGAGACTCCATTATGAGTCTAAGATCTTTCTTGAGATACATTGTTACTTCTTTATCAAGTTGTTGTCTCATAGTTTTTCTTCATAACTCACTTAGATAATTATTTTATCTAAGATTTAAATTTTCTTTGAGAGTCACACAAATC